GTTCCCTTGCTCTGTTCTGACGACTGCCTACTGGTCCAAGTATAGGTTTCACATTAACACAATCAAGTGTTCTGGGATTCCCATTCTTTTCAGAGTCAGCCACACACATTTGACTGTGTGGATCATCCCACATACATTGTAGATAAGTTATCAAGAGGGGCCAGTCCTTGGAGAAGGTAATCATACATGGAAAAGCACATCAACAAGAGGAAGACCGTCAGTGAGATGTATGAACACAAGACCTGTCACAATGGGCCTGAGTGCCACAGAGGGTATGAGGACGCATGGGGTGGAGAAGAGTTTCCTTCTGTTCTCAAGAGCCCCTAACAACTACAACAGCTGCAAGGAAGCGGGGAAACCCCGGTGATAAAACTTCCAAAGGTCCCAGCATTGAAACTCTATGGAGCTCTGCTCTGAGCACATGGGGTTGGCATGGCTCAGAATTGACTTAACTGCGACTAACACTGAGTATCGAGTGGAGATAGGGACCTCATTTTGACAAACATCCTATTTTAATTTTAATACATAAGCCGACCTTTCAGTGTTGGGTTCCAGCTGAATTCCACCTGTCAGATCCACGCTGTCACCTTGTTTGGAAACACAATATCGCAACATGAAAAGTTGCTGTCATCAATAATTGCAAGAAGCGGTTTCATAAAACAGTGAAGAAATACAAAATTGACTCATTCTTAGGAGGGCTGAGGAATCTTTATGCCTAAATTGGCAACACAGCTTTGTTTTTCACAGTTAAAGAAAAAGGAATGGAAACATGCTTCCACCCCTGCCTGTATCTGAGTGCTATTTTGGAAATGGATAGGTTGTCTGTTGGCTGTCACTGAGCTGGCAGGAGCACGAAGAACCTGGGACCACAATCAACAGTCTAACCTTGAGAAGTGCCACCGAAGCAGGGTTGAGTTGAGGAACAAGCAACAGGGCAGATTGTTTCCTTACTGTGTCTTCTGGACATGGCCTGGTCCCGGGCAGAGACAGTGCTCAGCACAGCTGGGCACGTACAACAGCCCTCCACACCATCTGTGGAGCAAGCTGATAAGAAGACTATCAGCCCAGCACGGTCAAGGAAGCCCCTTCATTCAGGAAATACACACAGGTATGCACCTACTAAGAGCTGCACCTGGTGTGGCTGCTGTGAGGGACACAGAGAAGAGAAGTCAAGCCAGGGCGGGTGAGCAGAGTGCATATGGAAGCCAAAGGAAGGGTGGCTGGCTCACCATGAAGGTTCTGGAAGAGGATTTGAACCCGGCACCTGAAGAAAGGGAACTATACTACTACCACCCTTTGCTGAGGAGTTGGAACCAAGGCAGAGCTGACCCTCCAGTGGATTTCTGAAGTTTCAATAGCACAGAAAGAGATTGCCCATTTCTTCTCAAGGAGCAGCAGGAGGATTCGAACCAGGAGAGAGGCTTGGCCTTTGGATTAGCAGTGTGATTTCTTACAGACCAAGCCACTAGAGTTATCCAAAGGAAGGGAGGTCTCTACAAGTGGAACGTTCGAGGTAGAGAAACTGGCTCAGTAACGAAAAACTCAGAAACTTGCACCCAGTGACCAGCTCCCCGAGCATGAGGGAAAATCCAAGGTCTCTCCACTCTTTCTAGCCTGGCATTCTTGATGGAAGAAGGTTTAACAAAGTCACCTGCTCTCACCTGAGCTCCACACCACGTATCCACCTGCCTCTGGGCACTTCCTCTTACAGTTCCCAGAAGCTCTGAAACCACGCATCTAAAATAGAGTTTCCCCCTCTCCTTCCATCCCTGTACCTTCTTCCTCCATATTTCTTATCACTTTCCACCAGATTAAGAACAATAATTTGTAAATTCTCTGGCTTGCTAGCCCAGTTAACACTAGTTAAGTGAGTAAGTAAGAAGGAGAGGCAAGTTAAGATAGGGATAGGGGATTCTGTCTGCAATGAAGGACATGCCGGGTCACCCCAGAGCCTGTGTGCATGGGTTCA